TATACTTAAATGTATTCTGATATACTTGAATGTATTCTGGTATACTTGAATGTAGTCTGGTATACTTGAATGTAGTCTGGTATTCTTGAATGTATTCTGGTATACTTGAATGTATTCTGATATTCTTAAATGTATTCTGATATACTTGAATGTATTCTGGTATACTTGAATGTAGTAATCCAAAGTATTGCTACATTTTGAAGCTAAAAAAATGATAAAAATTGTAAAACCTTTTTTTGTATTCTGGATCAATATGAATAGATAAAAACTGGTCCACAAAAAGTAAACATGGCTCTCGTTCAAATATTTTTTTTTAAATGTTTATACTTCTGATTTTTTCTTTTATTTAAAATTCCCGTCCAAAAATAAAAAGTTTCTATTTAAAAAAAATATTGAAAAGCAACTTTAAATAATGATATGTCCAATTGAAACACGCTGAATGCATTTTTGATATTGTATAAGGGATATTTTAAGGTAGGTTCGATCAGAAGAAAACAGAGCTAGGATAACTCAATAATTAAAGAGCCTTATGATTCTGAACATGTTTACCCAAAATTAACAAAAGTTTCCTGATGACCTAAAGCTCGGTAAATATCATATATTTTAGGCAAATAAACAAATATATTTATAGCTGCAGGGACCATGAAGGGAAGAAAATATCATGTTTTTTAGGCAAATAAACAAATATATTTATAGCTGCAGGGACCATGAAGGGAAGAATATATTTATAGCTGCAGGGACCATGAAGGGAAGAAAAAAACTGAATTAAATTCGTCTCTCTAAAGTCTCAGACGTTGTGGGTAAACACCTCCCCCCCCCCATGTACAGTGCACAACCTGACAGATTGTCCCGTCACGGCAGCAATAATTGGACTGTCCTCCAAGCGGTGTACGGGAAACCTTGAAACTGAACGGTACATGCTATTATGTACACCCTCGTTAAGGTCCTGCAATGAATAGATGCGTATGAAAGACACAGGAAAAAAGTTCTGGAAAGAACTCTAAGATAATGAAATCCAGTCATTGGATATTATCTAGTATAGTCTGGTATAGTCAGGTTTAGTCTGGTATAGTCTGGTATAGTCTGGCTTAGTCTGGTATAGTCTGGTCTAGTCTGGTATAGTCTGGTATAGTCTGCATATAGTCTGGTATAGTCTGGTATAGTCTGGTATAGTCTGGTATAGTCTGGTATAGTCTGGTATAGTCTGGTTTAGTCTGGTATAGTCTGGTATAGTCTGGTATAGTCTGCATTAGTCTGGTATAGTCTGGTATAGTCTGGTATAGTTTGGTATATTCTGGTATAGTCTGGTATAGTCTGGTATAGTCTGGTATAGTCTGCATATAGTCTGGTATAGTCTGGTATAGTCTGGTATAGTCTGGTATAGATAAAATAAGACAGTCAGGCAGTAAATGAAAGTAGGAAGGGTAATAGGATGAATGAATGTAGGAAGGATAAAAGAATGAATGAAAGAAGGAATGATAAATATATGAATGAAAGTAGGATGAACTATTGAATAAATGACTGTAGGAAGGGTAATGAATAAGCCAAATGTAGGAAGGATAAATGAATAAATGAATGAAGGAAGGATAAACGACTAAATTAAAATAAGAAGGATAATTGAATAAATGACTGTAGGAAGGGTAATGAATAAGCCAAATGTAGGAAGGATAAATGAATAAATGAATGAAGGAAGGATAAATGAATAAATTAAAATAAGAAGGATAATTGAATAAATGACTGTAGGAAGGGTACTGAATAAGCCAAATGTAATAATGAAAAATCAATAAATGAAGAAAAGAAGGGTAAATGAATTAATCAAAGTAAGAAGGATAAATGAATAAAAGAAAGTAGGAAGCCGGTAATGAATAAGCCAAATGTAGGAAGGATCAATGAATAAATGAATGTAGGAAGAATAAATGAAAAATAAATGTAGAATAGATAAATAAAAAGCTGAATGAAAAATGTAATAAGGATAAATGAATAAATGAAAACTGCAGTAGAATGAATGGAAAGCTGAATGAAAGATTTTGTTGAAAATTAACCTTTCCAGCCCATACTGGGATACCCATATCCCTTGAAAGCTTAGAAAATACTGAGATTCCGAGATATTATATGTCAGAGGGGTTTTAGATAGATAGATAGATAGATAGATAGAAAGATAGATAGATAGATAGATAGATAGATAGATAGATAGATAGATAGATAGATAGATAGATAGATAGATAGATAGATAGATAGATAGATAGAGATATATAGATAGATTTTAATGAACATGACCCTTTAAAGATTGAATAGCCTAGTCAGAAATTTAAAAAAAGAAAGATATTTCCAGAAATGAAACTGTAAGAAAAAGAAAAACTTGGAAAATTTTTGTCAAGTCGTCTCTGAATTCTTATCCTTATAGTAGGTTCCCCTGTATGTCAGAAATGTCCGTTAACATGAAAATGTAAATTTTCATCTAAATTCTTTCCATCTTGTTTATAAATTGGTAAATATTTATAACTGATAGTTCTTCGGCTAAACAGATTTTAAGGTCAAAAATATTAATTATTTACAACTACTTTACAGGGAAGTTAAGGGAATTTTACTTGATCAAGGGTTGACAAGACCAATTCTGTTTACAAAACATCCAGAGTGGAGCGATTTTTGTTTGCAAAATTAGTGGTTAAGTAAAAATTTTAATTTCCCGAAAAGTAGTTTAATTTTATCGACTTATATGAAATGAAAATACGCAAATTTTTTAGAGAAAACTTTGCGGGTCATTTATTACATAAAAAGCGGGACGTAAAGTGACTTAACGTCCCTCTGTTGGGGGAATCATGGGTTTGCAATGATGGTCGAAATGCGGTAAAATAAGTATATGACAAATTGAGATTTTATTAAATATTCGGACGTCAGCTACGCAAGTACCGTAAATGGATATAGACTGCTATAATAAGATAAATAATTTTTTAAAGCTGGATAAACTTTGAAGTGTCGCACAGGTGTGAAATATTAGTTTACCTTACAAATCACCTTAACTTGTTGTAGCCCTATAAATACTGCAGTACATATTATGAACTAGCACTTGAATTTTTGCAATTTTGTTTTAAGAAGTAATTGGCAATATTCTCATGTTTGTGCAAGAGCTTGCAACAAATCTGATGAAACTTTAAGCAATGTGTTCAGACGTTTTTCTTTATTTGACAAATTGTTCCCGAGACCAATGAAAGGTCAATTCAAAATGAAAATTCTAACGTCAGATTGTTATATTTCATGAGTTTTAGGTTGTTATTAAAGGGAATGTACGCGTACTTTCAAGTGAACCTCCAGGCAAAGATGGCAATGCACGATCCAAAATGGTACCCTTGAAACCGTTACCTAATCAATGAAAGTGTTTATTTCGGATCAAATATTCCTAAATGTTGTCAAGCAGTAGAAATGCGCAAGTTGCTTCTATATATAAATTTTGCTTGGTGGGTATCTGTTTGTTTGTATCCAATAAACGTCAAAACGGCTGAACCGGTCAGGGCCAGATTTTGTGTGGGACCTCACGTGGCCCCAGGGAAGGTTTATGAATGATCAAAATTTAAAATATTTGACTCCATTAAAATTCGATTTCCATTAAATTTTTGAAAATTTTGATAATCCACAAAAAGAAATTTATAATCCGCGATTTTTTGTTGTTTTGTTTTACGATGTACACAAAGAAAATATGCTCACAATTAAAATAGAAGATCCGCCCTGACAGGCTAGTTTGTAGAAAACCACAATTGTAAATAATCAGTTTTCAAAATTATCGACAATAATATCTAATATTTATAATTGATCAGTCGTACAAGGCTTTTAAAGGTACCGCTCGATGTAAATCGGGCACTACCATCCTTGCATTATAAACATAGAGAATAGAATATTTATTAGAGGGGAATTTAAAAAATCTCTCGGTATGCATTTATTCAGTCCCTTTCAGCCTGAAAGGGAGTTCAAAGTGTACAAATCATGTAAATGTTCACAAATTATATGCAGTAGAGTACATTAATACAGTATGTTCCCTAGACTATTCATTTCAATTTCGAATTTTTTAAAATGTTAAATAAACATATTCAATACTCTATGATTATAAAGAGTCACGTAAAACCGGGTGCCTATATAGTATATAATATGTTGTAGGTAAAAAGTTTAGTCCGACACAGAAATTAATAGCCTATAGGTGCTTCATAAAAATTTTATATAAAAACAAATGTGATAAGCATTTTTTTTTAAATATAAAGAACAAAAACAGATTATCAAATTCAAATATAATTAATATTTATTTATAGCACGTTTTTATAGCATTTATCAAAAAAATTTTATAAAAAGAAGATTTTGTTAAATTACTCAATATGTTAAAAATTTTGTAAATTTAAAAGAAATCCATTAAATTATAAATCATCGCAACGCATGTTTTTTATCTTTCAAAGAAATCCATCCTTTGCGGATAGAAATGTAAATATCTCACAAATTTTAATATAGATTTAACATTCTATTCTGCATTTCGAACGAAATGTTCATAATTACGAAACTCTTTCGTTAAGTTCGATATTATAAACGAAATATCAGGAATTTTAAGCTTTAACTTTTGATTATATTTTATTTCGTTTTTAAACTAATATCGACAAAATTTAAAATGGACATTTAAAAATTCAGAATAATAAATTTAACATAGATTGTGTTGAGAGTTTGTTTTAGTTTAATCCTGTCTTGGTTTTGCTGGGTTTTGTTGTGGAGGTTTAAAGTTGGTCTTCTTGGGGGGAGCAACTCTTTCATTTACGGGGCCTGAAAGTTAACATATTTTAACATTTATTTAAACAATATTAATTATTTCATTTTATATCACCTGAAGTAGAGAGTTCGGTGTTATTTTCCTTCCCCTCTTTCTTCTTCATCTCTTTCTCCTTCTCGTCCTTCTCCTTCTCTTCCTTTTCCTTCTCTTCCTTCTCCTCCTCTTCCTTCTTATGGCAGTTTACGAACTTGAGAAGTATTTCACACAGTTCACTAATCTGGGCTCTGATAAGATAAAATAATAAAATTTTTATGATGAATAAGTAATGTATAGAATGAGGTATTCTGGTATACATATTTGTATTCTGGTTTGCTTGAATGCATTCTGGTGTACTTAAATGTATTCTGATATACTTGAATGTATTCTGGTATACTTGAATGTAGTCTGGTATACTTGAATGTAGTCTGGTATTCTTGAATGTATTCTGGTATACTTGAATGTATTCTGTTATACATTAATGTATTCTGGTATACTTGAATGTATTCTGGTGTACTTGAATGTATTCTGGTGTACTTGAATAAATTGACTACGGCACCTGTATGAATTCAATTTTTCATTGTTTTCTTCCGTCATCATGTTCTCCCTAAAAAAAAAATATCAAAACCAAAAAAATTTAAAAATTTCATTAAACAAAATTTGTAAGAGAACATTTTGAAGATTCAAGCTAGTGTTATAGTATGTATGTAGAATTTGGCTCCGGTGCTAGATGAAAATTTGACAAATCTTAAAGTACAATCATTTTTGGTTGATTACAGAGTCTTTGGTTGTACTGTACCTTAGTTGTGCAAGCATGGTAATAATTTGCTGCAAAGAGTTAACTGTAAACTGCATGGCCGGGTTCCCCTGCAGTTTCTTCATCAGTTCCTCCGCAGACTTCAAGATATCGTTCCACGTTGCCTCCCCTGAGTTCCTTGTCTCTACCACCCAGCCCAGCAGGCTGCTGTTCCCCTGCTTGGCGGTATCGATCACGCTCTTGCTCTTGACAATGAGGTCGTCTCCGGTATACTTGTTCCCGTTGAGGACCAGCTCGGAGTTCTTGAGACCGGTATACAGGGTATCCCCGTACTGGAAGGCGGTGTTGTAGTAGTCAACAAATAGATTGTTAATCTAAACAAATATATAAATATATACACTGTGAAAAAACAGATAACTGCAGACTAACAAGACGAAAATAAAGGGAGTGTTCGCGAAAAATGAAAGGGGGCTAACGTTAGATTTAGAACTAATCATTCAGATATTATAACCTACAAATGTCAAATATAATTCGATGCATTCATACATAGTTGATATTTCATAATCTTTTTTTCTTTTGATTTACAATATACTTTAAACGACGAATGTGTTTGCTGCCAGGTGTCTCTCCCACGTAATGACTAGGGCAGAGACCCCTAGCGGCCAAATAATCGTCTTTAAAGTAAATTGTGTACAAAAAAATAAAAGATATCACTCAAGAAAATTTCAAATTTGCCAAGATCCATGATAAGTAAGATAAAAGCAAAGTCGTCCAATAGTCCAGACGAAATAAATAATTATTAAAACATATATATAACATGAAACATATATATAACATTATAATAAAACATATATATAACATTATAATAAAACCTTGCCTTGGAAACTTAGCTTTGACTGGAGTTTTCCTTTAAAAAGTCAACCCACTCAACTTAGAATTTTAAACCAGACTTAGAACATTTCCGTGGTTCTCCTGAGTTCCCAAATCAAAATTTGAGGCAAATTGGTCCGACCGAATATTCAAACAAACAAGCCTGCAGAGATTACTACTTTGTATAGATTTCACATGGATATATACAATACATATATTGTGTCCAAATTTGATTGTGTACAGTTCTAAATAGAAAATTTTAACATTATGGCGCACTAAAATTTTGTCTTGATCTTCAACCGGGGTTTAGGGAAGTAGCTTGTTGCGCGCGCGCGCGTATGATGATTTTAGAGAACGTTTTTTAACTCTCCGACTGTACAATCCGTTTCTATGAAAGAAAATGTGAGAAAAATTCAATCTGTAAGTTTCTGCTCAAAATAAATTTAGTCCATGCCAAAAAATCCTGATTTGGTGGGGGTAGGGGCAGGGGCGTTAAAAATAATTAATTCTGTGGCGTGCATGTTTTTGTTTGTTCCCAGTGCATTTTTTGATCAGAATACGACTGTGTTCGTACCCAATTCGAACTCTAGGATCACAATACACAGTGGCTAGAGAGTAAATATTTTTACCAAAGTTTACGGTTCATTTTTCTGAACAAAATCCCCGGTCCTTAAATTCAATATAAGATTTATGCTTTACTTTTTTATTTTTTTATTTTTTTTCGACGAATGATAACTGATGCTAAAAAAATATCATAAACTCACATACAATTCGTTAGGACTAAAACAGGTCGATAAAGTTACTTAATCATTCTGTTGTAGGGTGATTTAGTAACTTTAAGTAACTTTAAAATCCCTACAAATTCAATCATATGTTTCCATGAAAGAAACTAAGTTTTTTCCACATAATATTTCAAACTAAAATTGCATAACATAACTGAATTTAAAGTTTAAAATATCTAACGCCTATGACACTAGGTTGCAAAGATATAAGGATTAGAAAAACAGAGCTTGTACAGGGTTACCCACAAAGGATGAGAATTCAGAGACGACTGTACAGGATTTATACAGTCTATTTTCTTTTATTTAAAATTCTCTGCAACATTAAACTTGTTGCTTTTGTTGCCATGTCAATAATTATAGTTTAAAAGGCATTATTTAAGGCAAATGACTTCATCTTAAATTTAACCTTTTATTTGTCAAATGTTATGAGTTTCATGTCGTCTTTGCAGTCCCATCCTTGCACATTTATTGCGGGCATGATTGATAAACACGTAATTTTAAAGTACCCTCCAAGAGAGAATTGCATGTCCGATACACACGTCGGAGCAAAAATTATAGAAATATCCCTGTTTTCATCTTAAATTGCTGGTTTCTAAAAAATGTGAATTGCGTATTTATTCAGCTTAGCTCAGAATCATAGTTACAACAATTAAATAGCACATCTATATACTTTTATATAATACTCCATAATTGAGTTCGTAGACCATAAACCCTAGAATCTTTCTCCGTAAAATGTCGTCTTAAATCAAATCATACTCCGGAACCCAAACCCAATCTTTTCTCCTGTTAATAAAACAACTCTTGAAAAGTGAAACACGTTTTAATATAGTAAATGCTTAAAACTCGTGATTAGTGCTGTTAACAACAAATCTTTGTAACCAAACAGAAATTTATTATTTTAGAAGTAATAATCGTTTTATTCTGATCACCCCTAATTTTCTGTTTCTACCAGCAAATAGTAAGAAACTTTAAAATCAAAATTTGTTCACAATTAAATATTTCAAGGATTATTGTTAAAACTGTACTTATTTTTAGGTTTGAAATAAACTTCATTGTGCATTGTCAACTATGGATTGGTAATGAAGAAAGAGGACATCGGCCAGCTTTCAGGCACAATCAAAACCCTTCAGTGGGATTATCAACCTTATCCCCACCTCGAGGCCCATTTTGAGATCAAAAGAGTTATCTACTTACAAATTGTTTTGTATTCGCCATGTTGAATGTTGAGTTGAGGATTTGAACTGAAGAGATTTTAACGCTGTATCTGACTTTAAATACATGATTTTGAAATCTGACCATTCTGAAAACTGGAGGAAAGGGCCTCTATTTGGAGTGTGCACAAAAGTGAGACTGTAAATACGACCTGAATCTCATAAAATATGATGATTACAAGGTTAAATTAAGCCTTATGGCATATATTCATTGACATGGAAACGAAAAAAAAGATAGTATAAATTCTGTGCAGTCGTCTCTGAAGTCTCATCCTTTGTATGAATTTAAATCCCCTCGGAATTATATGATGAGGACAAAGGGTAATTTCAAATTTGTCTGAGAGTAATTGACATTTCTTTGTAAGGAGCTGGTTTAAATTGGATTAGCGTGCATATTTTAACATTTAAAAAAATAGATTTGTTAACAATTTGTATAAATTAAATAGATGATAGTCAGGGCAATTAAACAGGGTCCTCACACGTCTGCACACACCCTGTCACAGTTCTTGTACTTCATTTTCTGCACTACACTTTGGTTTTTAAATGCCTTTTGTCCTGTGCTTCAATTTTTTCTGGTTTTTAACTGTCCAGTCATTAAAGATAAAATTTGTTTGGAAAATCTGGCAACGTTATGTGTATAAATAAAATACTAAATTTACCCAAACAATTTTTGAATTTGTAAAAGAAAAGAAATGCTCCATAAGTATTTTTATCAGTGGAAAGGACGAACATTTCGAGGTGGCTCGGACGAGAAAATGAGGAGAATGTGGCTTGAACAAGGAATTGTTGGGATTGGCCTTCCTCCTCTTTCTAGATACTTTAAAATGCATTATTATTCATTCGTTGTATGGTACCATTTTTATCACCTCAGTATAATAATAATTACACTCTGCATTGCAATAGTACACATATTACCCTGAACTAACGAGATGCGTTTTGTTTCTTACATTTGAATTCCATCGTGTTTTGGAATTGTCTTTCCATATCTTTTTCAATTATAACGTATTTGCTGACAAAAAGTTTAATGAAAACTAGCGAAAAATGTATGTTTAATGGATAAAATTTGGGTTGAATTAGTCACAACTAGGGTTGTTAATCGTTTTTGAAAACGATCGTTAAACGATCGTTTTTTAGTTTTTCAATCGTTTTCAAAAACGATCGTTTTGTTTTCGGAAAAAATGAACCATTCGTATTGAACTTTCAGAAACCGAATAATGATCGTTTATGAAAACGATCGTCTTTATAAAAACAATTTGCAACCGTTTTTTATACAATTGTTTTTAAAAAAAACAATCGCTTTTGAAAAAACGATCGTTTAAAAAAAATATGTAAAATTATGTTTACGATCGTTAACAAAGGGTTATCGTTAACGATCGTTGACGAAACGAAGAACGAAAAAAATACATGCAACTTTATTGAACGTCGTTTTACATGAAGTTAAACAGTTGTGGGGGAGCTAAAACTTCTTGATATTTTCTTGAAAACTACTCAATAAGTACAGGTAAGTTTCCTCTCTTCGTTAACGATCGTTAACTAAGCGTAGAGGGTCACGAAGCAAGGGAGCTTTATTGTTTGAATGGGGCCCCTAGGCTCAGATATCTAACTTGTTTCCATTGATAAATGAATTGCAGTTAAATGCACAAGACAAGAAATATTGGTAAAGGTACGCTGTATAATTTTGATGCAGGGTGTCCTACATGACAGTTGGTAAATAGTTTTCCATAAACTGTGGTAGACATTACAGTGATTTTGCAGTTTTATTTCTCAAATTTAGTTTATTTTTAAAGTTTTTACTCAAACACAGTTTACTTTGAAACCAATTATAAGATAATTGACTGCCTTATAATATTTTTTGTTATTCTCTTTGGTATCAAACAACTTGTAGATCTAAGCAAAGTCAAAGACTACCTTTGGGTCTACAAAATTTATATTATGGGATTAGGGAAAAGAAACTAAAGTTGCAAGTTGAGGGGTGGGGGGGGGGGTAAATTAGGTTCTTAGAAATAGAAACTTTAAGCTAAAAGGTGGAATGTTATTACCCATTCTAGATTTTAATGGCGGAACAAAAAACATAAACATTAAAACAAAAAATTACTAAGATACAAAATGTACATAATCAATGAAATATTTTACACTAACAATTTGTTATAATTTCTATAAGAAGTAAATTAGAGGATTACATTTTAATTCAGAACCTTGAAAATATTTTATTACAAATATTTAATAACAGATAAATCATTCCTAAATGCATAAATTTCATTTTGTTAAAAAAAAAGTTTATTTAAAGATATTTTTGGTAAAAAGACATAAATGAATAAAAACTGCTACAAAGGTAATTTTTGTTGTTTGTAGACTTTTAATAAAGAACTGTTTTTTATATTATTTTTTCGTCACTTCACCCAAAAATCATTTCGCCAAAATCATTGCTTTGAACTCCTGAAAGTCCACCTAAAAAACATTTACAATATAAGTAAAAAATATATTTTTTGAACATAGTTTTAGAACTTAAAAACCTGATTGTCTCCATTTGTGTCAGCTTCTATCATCATTTCTAGATAAAAATACTTTTAATGATTTTCTGGATTAATGAAAATTGTACTCGAGAGAAAAAACCTTAATAATTGTTTTTAAAGGGATTTAAGCAAAATTTCAACTGTGATCTTTTATTTCTATAAATATCGTACTGTGTGAACTCAATGTGGAAGACGTCACATTTATTCATGTGAAATTTAAAATATTATTTGTTCAACTCAGGTTTCAAAATTCAAGTTTTATTCTTACCAAGGAGTTCTTCGTCTGTAAAGTGAACACCAAGCTGACCCATCACAAGCTATTCAGATAATCAATTTATAAACCAAGCTGACCCATCACAAGCTATTCAAATAATCAATTTATAAACCAAGCTGACCCATCACAAGCTATTCAGATAATCAATTTATAAACCAAGCTGACCCATCACAAGCTATTTAGATAATCAATTTATAAACCAAACTGACCCATTACAAGCTATTTAGAGAATAAATTTATAAACAAATCAATCCATTAAGAAACAAATGCTCAATAAATCAGCCAATCAATGAATTGATCACTCAATTTTAAAATCACCTCATTCATAAAATCGGTGGTTTAATTTTATCAATTAGAAATCAACTACTCAATGCTGACAAATCTCTTTAATCAATTGTTTAACGATATGTAAATATATATCTTTTAATTAGTCTATAAAATAATTTAAATATGAATAAATCAATTAGTTATCATTATTATTAATCTTTAATAGTGTTTTAATGTTCAGTCAATAAGTTAAATATCTCGTTTAAATTGATTGTTTAGTAAATGTTTTGTTTAAAAAGCAGATTTTAAAAAGCATAATTATGAAATTGGAGAATTTTTCTTAGGTAAAATTTCTGTTCTTTGGATTTTTAAAATTTTTAGTACTCCATTACATTATAGTGTCTTCTATATATAGATTTGGCTTGTCTGTTTGTATCCAAAAAACGTCAAAACGGCTGAACTGATCGGGCCCACATTTTGGTGGGACATCACGTGACCACAGGGAAGGTTTATGAATGATAAAAATTAAAAAAAATGTGTTTGAAAGGTTTTCAATTTTGTAAAAAAATAAATTCTTGAAAATCCGCGAATTTTTTTTAAAAATCCGCAAAAACTTGTTCTTCTTTGTTTTTAAATGTAAACAAAAAGAACATGTTCACAACTTAAATAGAAGATGGGCGCGAAGCGCCCTAAAAGCCTAGAGAGAAGGGCGCCAAGCGCCTTGAATTTCTAGTTTATATAAAAGTGTCTAGTTTGTGTTTGATTTGCAAAATATTTAGATGATTTAATAGACATTTTTTTCATAGTAAATTTCATCAATTTTAACCGTTCATAAACGTTTCTGGCTTCAAGTTTTGCCGTATTAATGTTTATTGGAAAACAAAACAAACAAAAAGTCAGTCAAGCAAAATTAATATGTTCTTATAAAGACCTTAATTTCACTGCTAGAGACAAACCCACTTCTATCCTTGTCAAACACTGAAAAAACATAAATTTTTAGTTTTACAGTTAATTTTTGTAAGGGTTTACAATCGGAATTGCGTTTCACGTCATTGCGTGGAATTCAGGGCTTACAATTGCGCGCAAGAAAATCCACTTGAAATGGAAAAAGTAGTTTTTACGTATTTTCTATTTTTGAAACCATTTGGTAATATAACCTTTTGTCAATATAACCTTACATCGGGAAAGTTGCATGCACAATTCACAATTTGTATCTGATTAACGATGATATTGTTATTTCTAAAAAAGTGATGATTTCTGACAATTTCTTTCATTTCTCTACAACATAAATCCGCAAGAAACTAGAAATATTAGGATATCTTCTTTATCCTTGATCAGTCCAAAGTTTAAAGGGTATGAATAATGTATAATGTGAATCGCATTTATAGAGGCATCAGTCGACATCTAATTCTGGCATTCTCAATTCTTAAAAGGTTTTAATCTAATCTAATCTAACCTTTTGTTCAAAATTCATGAATAAACACATCAAAAAAATGGAAAAAAATATGTCAACAAAATATTACCGGTAAACACATCTCTTAGATCTGCCTCACTCGGCTGATCCCTGGAAACAATTTGATTAAGTCTTCAGTTTAGGGTTTCAATCAAATTTCGCATTTTTTTTTGAAAAAAATAATTTCCCCGCAAATTACGCATTTTTTTGCATTCCGTTCTTAGAAAAAAAATGCTAAGGTATTCGATTTTTTTGCTAGATTCGCGTGAATCTGTTTCGCGAAAAAAATGCGAATACATATTTCAATGAAATAATAGATACTTGGGATTTGCATTTTAGAGTGCATTTCATTAATGACCTTTTACAACTTGAAAGCTGTGGTCTTCAAATTCCTTCCCCCCCCCCCCAAAAAAAAAGAAAAACGAAGTGGGGGGGTAGCTTGGTTGGTTGAGGGCATTTTTGCCAAAACTGCACAGATATTTCATGAGACTTGTATTGATCCATCTATTCTAAGATAAAATCAAATCAAATCATGAGTGTTAAGGAAAGCTTTAGGCTCCACTCTACAGCTTGGAGTTTCAAGTCCTGACTGAGATAATAATAACCTCATTATATTTCCCATGAGTAGAAGGAATTCTAAAAACTCTATACTTCCACTGGCGTCATTATCAACCTTAACAAAATATCCAGAGAAGGTAAAAATAAAAAGTAATAGGAAATACAGAAAATTGAGATAAAAAAGAAAATGAAAATATGAAGAAAACAGGAGAACGCTCAGAATAATAAGAAGAATGGAAAAGTTAAGAAAAGACAGGAAAGTTCAGAACAGAAAAAAATGGGGAAAAAACTGGAAAGACAGAAAAAAAGAAAAATGTAAAAATTAATGAAAGACGGAAGAAAGATCAGAAAAAAAACGTAAAAAAGGAAGGAAAGACAGAAGAAAGTTCAGAAAAAGGAAAAAGGAAAGAAAGAGAAATGTTCAGAAAAAAATCAAGAAAAATGGAATAATGAAGGAAAGACAGAAACATGCAAAAGTTAAAGAAAGACGGAAAAAAATTCAGAAAAAAAACTTCAATTAAATGGAAAAGTAAAAAAGGAAAGACCTGATCCACCATATCTCTGATTTCCTCTATTGTAGGGTTGTACCCCATACTCTTCAGTACTGTACTCAACTCCTGAGATGGTAGTTTAAGAGATCTTTGTTGAACGCAAGGTTATAATGCAAGGAAAGTTAATTGCAGTTGGGGTATACTCTGCGTACATGTTGAAACCAGTCCTCTCTGGGCGGAATTTGTAAACAAGAATAGATTCATCAGTGATTGTTAAGTATCCGAGGAGGTTAAAAGCATTAATTTTGATAATTTTGATAATTCACATAAGAGTTTCCTATGGCCAGAATATTTCATTGATTTTTTATGTGAAAGATGGATCCCATGTCAGACTTCGACATCCGTCTTGTGTTTACATTACCGCCCAGAGACAGTACACTGCAGTACAAAAGATACGCATACCTCTAAAATAATATTCCTTGCATTATAACCTTGGTTGAACGAAACTCCCAAGTTTCCATTTTGGGGCCCATACATTTGCCTAGATTTTAATTTAAGAAATCAGAAAACAAAAAAAATGTAAAGAAACCACATAGTGTATTGTTTCTGAACAAAAATAATGGTATCTACAAAAATGCCTGACCCCATTCTAAACTGTATTTTATCACGATACTCTACAGGGTGTCCCATGAAACATGACAGTTGGTGAATAGTTTAGAATGTCTTTTTCCATAATTTGTTACGTTGTTTGATACCAAAGATCAATAAAAATGTTATATGGGAGTCATGTTATATTCAAATTGATATCAAAATAAAACATAATGAAGCAAAAGATTTTTGGACTAAAAATAACGATTTATTTAATGTCATGTTTGGTGGGACACCCTGTACCTAAATTTTCAAGCTCTGTATAAATATATTTAGTTTTCACTGAAATGTTACATATGTTCAAAATAACTAGAAACATTTTTAAACGTGCAAGAAATATCAATAGAAATATCAATAGAAATATCAATAGAAATATCAATAGAAATATCAATAGAAATATCAAGAATATTAGACAAATTTGTCATTGATATATTTAGACAGTTCTGAACTACTGAGCTGAAGAAAGTCCCAGCTCTTTGTTCAGGTTTCCACAAAAAATCTCTTTTCCGAATTGCGGAAAGCGACAGCCAGCAACAGAAGAAGAAAAAAATACAGTCGTTGTCGCATATATCAATACAATAAAGACGACTTTCAAACTCAATTTTGTTTTGATATGAAACTTTAAAACTTCAAGGATACACATAAACATGGAAACAAAGAGAAGCTGTCAATTAAAAAAGCTTATCTTTAATTACTTGTAAGTCCAAAAAAAAACACTCAAAATTTTAATAATAAAAAGTCGTCTTTATCGTATTTATATAATCCCCGACCACTGTATGATAACGATAATGATTTTAATAAAATATTTTTGTAAGATATGTGTCCAAAATTTTAAAAATTTATGAAAAGAAATAAATTTAAAAAAAATCTTTTTTTGCATTTTTGAAGATAAAGAGAAAATATAGATTTTAAAATTATCAATGATTACTTTCAAATATTTCACCTTAGTATCAATAGTTCCATCCCCATCTTTATCAAAGATTACAAAAGTGTCCCTGAAAATACAAAATTATATCTTTTCATATTTAAAATTTTTAAAAGAATAAATTGTCTTAAATTGCTCAGGGAATTCATATTGTATAATTGGGTCAACACCAAAAAAGTTCACGGAAATTCGGAAATAAAGTCATAAATTTTGACTCTAAAAAGTCGTGTGCAAAAAAGTCCTTGAAATACAAAGTCCTACCATTTTAAGACTTTCTTTTTCAGGACTTTTGGAGGAAAAAAGTCCAAGAAATCTTAAACTTTGGATATCCATTTCCAGTAACTTTCTTACATATAATCGTATAATTGTGCTCCATTGTGCACGTAATTCAAATTATGATTATTTCTAGATCAATTAATCTAAGTTTGAAATTTCAAAGTTTTACACCATCAGGTTGCAAAGATATCGGGATATAGAACATTTCAGTTGGTGGCAAAGACTCCTTTTAACATATTTGCACGAATTTATCACTTTGAATGTCGTTAATTAGAACAATTTCTAAGCCCTATATTTTTGCAACCTGATGAAGTAAACCTTTGATATTTAAAACAATTTTAATTTTAATCTGAAATATCTATGATCTATTTCAGTGGATTGCAAAGATATTGGGATTAGAACATTTGGATTTGTCACAAGAACTCAGTTCCTTTAACATCTTGGAAGAGTACAACAAAGCTACAAATTAAAATTCTTGCGTTGTCTTCATATTTGTGTTGAGTTTAACTAAAATTTGATAAATTAAAGGCAAATACTTTCCACTTAGCTAATTGCAAATATTGCTTTGTGAAAGATATTAAACCCTGTCTAGCCCCGCCCCCC